ACTAAAAGAAGAAGGAGAAGGAGAAGAAGAAAAACAAGAAGAGGAGGAGAAGGAAGAGGAGGAGGAGGAGAAAGAAGAGGAAGAAGAAGACGACGACGACAAAAGGGCTGGGCACAGGGGCTCATGCCTGTAACCCAGCAGTTTGGGAGGCCACAGAGGGCAAATCACTTGAGTTCAGGAGTTCAAGACAAGACTTGGTACCATAGCAAAACCCCATCTCTACGACAAAAATATTACCCAGGGGGGTTTGTGTATACCTGTGGTCCTAGCTATTCAAGAGGCTGAGCTGGTAGATCACTAGAGCTTAGGATGTTAAGGCTACAGCAAGCTGTGATCACACTGCTGCACTCCACCTTAAGTAACAGAACAAGGCCTAATCTCAAAATAAAATAAAATAAAAATAATTTAAAAAAAAATGCTGGGCACAGTTGCACACATCTGTAACTCAACAATTTGGGAGACCAAAGTATGCAGGTATGCAGATCAGTTGAGTTCAGGAGTTCAAGACTAGACTGTGCAACGTGGCAAAGCCCCACCTCTACCAAAAATATAAATAATTAGCCAGGCATGGTAGTGTGCCCCTATGGCCCCAGCTGTTCAATAGGCTGTGATGAGAGGACTGCTGAGCGCAGGAGGTTGAGGCTGCAGCAAGCCAGGACCACACCACTGCACTCCAGCCTTGGTGCAGCGGTGTGGTCTGTACACCACTGCGAGACCTAATTTCAAAAAAGAAAAAGAAAAAAGTGCTTGGCACAGTGGCTCAAGCCTGTAATCCAGCAATATCAGAGGCCAAAGTGGGCTGATCACATGAGTTCAGTAGTTTGAGATAAGATGACTGAGCAACATGGGAACCACCATGTCTACAAAAAAATACAAAACATTAGCCAGACGTGGTGGCATGCACCTGTGGTCACAGCTATTGAGAGGCTGAGGTGGGAAGATTGCTTAAGCCCAGACTGCCAAAAAGTTGATCATGCCACTGCACAGCCTGGTTAACAAGAGTAAGAGCTAATCTGGAAAAAAAAAATGAAAAGAAAAAGAAGGAAGAAGAAGAAGAAGAAGAGGAGGAAGAAGAAAAAGAAGAAGAAAGAAGAAGAAGAAGAAGGAGAAGAAGGAGAAGAAGAGGGAGGAGGGGGAGGAGGAGGAGAGAGGAGGAGGGAGGAGGAAGAAAAAAGAGCTGGGCACAGTAGCTCATGCCTGTTACCTAGTAATCTGGTAGACTAAGATGGGAAGATCACTTGAGTTCAGGAGTTCACGACAAGACTGGAAAACATGGTAAAATCCTATCTCTACCAAAAATACAAAAAATTTTTGCGGCATGGTTGTGTGCACGAGAGGCTGAGGTAGGAGGATCCATTGAGCCCCGGAGGTTGACGCTGCAGCAAGCCATTACCATGACACTGCACTCCAGTCTGGGTAATAGAGTGAAATCAGAAAGAATAAATTTAAAAAAAAAAGAAAGAAAGAAAAGGAAAGGAAAAAGAAAGAGGAAATGAAAAGAAAAGAAAGAGAAAAAAGAAGAAAAAGTGATGGGAACAGTGGCTCATGCCTGTAACCCAGCATTTTGGGAGGCTGAGGTGGGCAGATCACTTGAGTTCAGAAGTTCAAGATTAAACTCAGCAAAATGGCAACACCCCATCACTACCAAAAATACAAAAAATCAGCCAGGCATGGTGGTGTGCACCTGTAGTCCTAGCTATTCAAGAGGTTGAGGTGGGAAAATCGCTTGAGCCCAGGAGGTTGATGCTGCAGCAATCTGGATCATGCCGCTGCACTCAAGCCTGCATAAAAGAGCAAGACTTAATTTCCAAAAAACAAAAAAAAAGAAAGAAAGAAAAAAAGAAAAGAAAAGAAAAAGAAAAAATAAAATAAACACAGTGGATCACGCCTGTAACCCAGCAATTCCGGAGGCTGAGGTGGCCAGATCACTAGAGTTCAGGAATTTGAGAACAGACTGGACATGTCAAAATCCTATCTCTACCAAAAATACAGAAAATTAGGGTGGCATGCTGTTGTGAACCTGCCATCCCAATTACTCAAGAGGCTGTGGTGGGAGGATTGCTTGAGCCCAGAATGTTGACGCTGCAGCAAGCCATGATAATGTCACTGCATTCCAGTCTTGGGAACAGAGCAAGACCTAATCTAAAAAACAAAAACAAATACAAAAAACAAAACAGGGCACAGTGGCTCACACCTGTAACCCAACACTTTGGGAAGTTGAGGTGGGCAGATCTCTTGAGTTCAGTAGCTTGAGACCAGAATGGGCAACATTGCAAAACCCCATGTCTACCAAAAATATCAAAAATTAGCCAGGCATTGTTGTGTCCACCTGTGATCCCAGCTATTCAGGAGGCTGTGGTGGAAGGACTGCTTGAGCCCAGAATGCTTAGGCTGCAGCAAGCCGTAATCACGCCACTGCACTACAGACAGGGCAACAGAGCAAGACCCACTCTCAAGTCAAACAAACAAACAAAAAACAGAAGAAAAAAGGGCCAGTCACAGTGGCTCACACCTGTAACCTAGCACTTTGGGAGGCATAGGTGGGCATGTTACTAGACTTCAGGAGTCTGAGACCAGACTGGGTAACATGGCAAAATCCAATAAAAAATTAGCCAGATATAGTGGTATGCACCTTTGGTACGAGCTATTCAAGAGGCTAAGATAGGAGGATTGCTTGAGCCCAGGAGGTTGAGGCTGCAGTAAGCCGTGATCACGCTACTGCAGCCTCAAACTCCTGGGGTCAAGAGATCCTCCCAACTCAGCTTCTTAAATAGCTGAGACCACAGGTGTATACCACCATGCCTGGCTAATTTTTTGTATTTTTGGTAGTGATGGCATGTTGCCATATTGCCCAGTCTTGTCTCCAACTTCAGAACACAAGTGATCTGCCCACCTCAGACTCCCAAGTTTCTGGGTTACAGTCATCAGCCACTGTGCCTGGCACTTTTTTATTCTGTTTCCTCTTTTTTTTTCCTTGAGATTAGGTCTTGCTCTGTTACCCAGGCTGGAGTGCAGCAGCGTGGTCACGGCTTGCTATAGACCTAACCTCCAGGGCTCAATCGATCCTTTCACCTCAGCCTCTTGAATAGCTGGGACCACAGGTGCACAACACCACGCCTGCTAATTTTTTGTATTTTTGATAGAGATGGTGTTTTGCCATGTTGCCCAGTCTTGTCTCAAACTCCTGAACTCAAGTGATCTGCCCACCTCAGCCTGCCAAATTGCTGCATAACGCCTGTGAGCCACTGTGCCCAGCCCTGTTTTTCTTCTTCCTTTTTTTCTTCTTCTTCTTCTTCCTCCTCCTCCTCTTCCTCCTCTTCATCTTCCTTCTCCTCCTCCTCCTCCTCCTTTTTCTTCTTCCTCCTCTTCATCTTCCTTCTCCTCCTCCTCCTCCTCCTTTTTCTTCTTCCTCCTCCTCCTCCTCCTCTTCCTCTTCTTCTCAGGCATGAAGTGCAGCGGCATGATCACGGCTTGCTGCAGCCATAACCTCCTAGGCTCTAGTGATCTTCTCACCTCATTCTCTTGAACAGCTAGGACCACAGGTGAACACCAACACTCCTGTCTAATTTTTTGTATTTTTGGTAGAGATGTGGTTTTGCCACATTGCCAAGTCATGTTTCAAACTCCTAAACTCAAGTCATCTGCCCATCTCGGCCTCCCAAAGTGCTGGGTTACAGGCATGAGCCACTGTGCCTAGACATTTTTTCTTTACTTTTCATTTATTTTTTCTTTTTCTTTGAGATTAGGTCTTGCTCTGTTACTGTGGCTGGAGTGCAGTGTCGTGGTCACACTTACTGCAGACTCAACCTCCTGGGCTCAAGCAATCCTCCCACCTTAGCCTCTTGAATAGCTGGAACCACAGGCGCACAACACCATGCCTGGTTAATTTTTTGCATTATTGGAAGAGATGGGGTTTTGCCATGTTGCCAAGTCTCATCTCAAATTCCTGAAGTAAAGTGATCTGGCCACCTGGGCCTCCCAAAGTGCTGGGTTACAGGCGTGAGTGACTGTGCCCGGTCCTTTGTTCTACTTGTTTTCTTTCTTTTCTTTTTCTTTTTTTGTTTGAGATTAAGTCTTGGTTTGTTACCCAGGCTGGACTGCGGTGGCATGGTCTCGGCTTGCTGCAGTCTCAAACTCCTGGGTGCACACCACCACGTCTGGTCTCAAACTCCTGAACTCAAGTGATCTGCCAACCGCAGCCTCCCAAAGTGCTGGGTTACAGGCATGAGCCACTGTGCCCAGTCTGTTTTCCTTTTTCTTCTCTTTCTTTTTTGAGATTATGTCTCACCCTCTAATTCAGGCTGGAGTGCAGCGGTGTGATCATGGCTAGCTGCAGCCTTAAACTTCTAGGCTCTAGAGATCACCTCAGCCTCTTGAATAGCTAGGACCACACGTGTACACAATATGCCTGTCTAATTTTCCTGTATTTTTGGCAGAGATGTGGTTTTGCCATGTTGCCAAGTCTTGTTTTGAACTCCTGAACTCAAGTGATCTTCCCACCTCAGCCTTCCAAAGTGCTGGGTTACAGGCATGAGCCACCGTGATCTGCCCTTTTTTCTTCTTTTTTTCCTTTGAGATTCGGTCTCGCTCTGTTACCCAGGCTGGAGTGCCATAGCGTGGTCATGGCTTGCTTCAGCTTCAACCTTCTGAGCTCAAGCAATCCTCCCTCCTTAGCCTGTTGAATAGCTGGGACCACAGGTGCACACCATCATGCCCAGCTACTTTTTGTATTTTTGGTAGGGGTGTTTTGCCATGCTGCCCAGTCTTATCTCAAACTCCAGAGCTCAAGTGATCTGCCCACCTCGGCCTTCCAAAGTTATGGGTTACAGGCGTGAGAGCCACTTGGCCCAGCACTTTTTTTCTTTTTTTTTTGAGATTAGGTCTTTCTCCATTACCAAGGCTGGAGTGCAATGGCATGGTCATGGCTTGCTGCAGACTCAACCTCCTGGGCTCAAGCGATCCTCCCACTTCAGCCTCTTTTATAGTTGGGACCACAGGTGCACACCACCACACCTGGCTAATTTTTTGTATTTTTAGTAGAGATGGGGTTTTGTTATGTTGCCCAGTGTGGTCTCAAACTACTGAACTCAAGTGATCTGTCCACCTCAGCATTCTAAAGTGCTGGGTTACAGGCCTGAGACACTGTGACAGCCCTAGTTTCTCTTTTTTTTTTTTTTTTTGTTTGTTTTTGAGATTAAGTCTTGCTTTGTTACCCAGGCTGGAGTGCAGTGGCGCAATTACATCTTGCTTCAGCCTCAACCTCCTGTGCTCAGCTGTGTCCTGGGGTCCAGGAAAGTCAAGAAGTTGCTCCACCTGCTGTTCACCAGGCACCCTGGCAGAGAAGAGCCTCTGCCCACCCCAGCCTGACATCAGATCCCAAGGACTGGTCTACCTGCAAGAGGGGAACTTGAGACATCTCCATTGTCCCCAGAGAGTCCCCTCAGTCATGGGCACTGACCAGGGTGCAGGTGGGCCCAGCAGGCTAGTCCAGCATGGGCGTGGCTGTACATTCATCCTCTGAAGAGCCTCAGAGGCTTGTGGCAGCTGGTGTATGTCTGGGCTTGGAAGTAGAGGGTGTCCCCCAGCCAAAAGGCAGAGATAGTTGTTTTGCACTCCAGTCCGCTGCAAGAACAGGGACCTCAGGCTCCAGACACCCCAGCTCTGCCCGCCCCTACCCACAGCCTATCGCCATTTGGCCCAGGCAAGTCACCCCAGCTCCCAAAGAGAGAGCCACACTTCCCACCTCCTGATGTTTCCCTGCACTGTTCTCACCTGACTCTGTTCTCCACACCAGTCAAGTTCCATTCTGGAAAAACCCTACACATCCTTGGGAAGGTACCTTCTCCTCAACTCCTTTCCAGAGCTTTCCATTCCATTTTCTTTTTCTTTTCTTTTTGAGACAGAGTCTCCCTCTGTCACCCAGGCTGAAGTGGAGTGGCACAATCTCAGCTCACTGCAACCTCCGCCTCCCAGGTTCAAGCCATTCTCCTGCCTCAGCGTCCCAAGTAGCTGGGACTACAAGCATGTGCCACCACACCCGGCTAATTTTTCTTTATTTTTAGTAGAGACGGGGTTTCACCATGTTGGCCAGGCTGGTCTTGAACTCCTGACCTCAGGTGATCTTCCTGCCTCAGCCTCCCAATGTGCTGGTACTACAGGCATGAGCCACTGTGCTTGGCCCCTACTTCTATTTTCTACCTATCATTTGATGCAGCAACCAGGTCTTCCCTGGGCCAGGCTGCTCTGGAGGCAGGGAGGCTGTAATCAGGACGTGGAGTGTAGCAGAGCATGGAATTCCAGGCACACCTAGGCAGAGAAGTCAGAGGCCCACAGGTGAGTGCCTCTCCTTCCAACCCCACCCACCTCACAGGCAGAAAGAGGGAGGCTTCACAAGGGGTTTGAGGTAAACAGGGGAGCCCGGGTCACCTCTGTCTGATCTCCTGCCCTCCTGGGAGAAAGTCAGAGGCTTCTGGCTTCTAAGGCCAAGGCCCAGCACACCTCTCCCGACCCTTGCCTGCAGCTATTGTCACATATCAAAAGTGAGTTTTTCCCCGAGAGGCTGGAGGCACAGCTCCTTGGGCTTGACCAGGTAGGCAATTCAAACAAGTCCCTGTGTGTCCCCACCAGCCAGGCCTTCTCACGCCATGTAGCAGCTGGGGGCACCAGGATACACTGGGGGATCCCAGGGATGAGAACACCCCGAGGATCCCACAGCAGCACTGCCACCCCTAGACGCGCCACAAGCCCGGTGTCCATCCAGCCTTCGAGAACCTGAGCCTCACACATACTTGCCCCGCTCCTCACACCTGGCTTTCCTGTGAAAAGTGGAACTGGTTCCACCTAGGCCAGCTGGAGAAGGGCCTCAGGAAATGGCCATTTGTGGATTCATTCCAGTTTTAATCATTCATTCATTTATTTGCCAAATACTCATTGTCCACTTTTCTGTACCAGGCCAGGGGTGATGGGTCAAGCAGAACACATGTCCCAAGGAGTTTTCCTCTCTTTAGAGACAGAGAGGCAGACTTTCAGACCATGAGGGTCCTTTGGGCTTGGGGGTGCCCAGGGCTGGATGCAGGGGAGGCCCTCGCCCACAGGGGGTGGTGATGGGTGTGGATGTGGAGGCTACCAAAGGGTGAGGGTGACCAGACAGACGACCTAGCATGTTCCCAGGCCCAGGGTGTGAGATGGAGCAGGTGGGGGCCTGCTCTAACTGGAAGGCTTCCTGACTCTGCCAACGATAGGCTGTGGCTGGATCAGCCTTCATCTTGATTTTTAAAATCATATTTAATACATTTTCGTTATGTAACTAAATGTACTTATTGCAATAAAAATTATGAAATATAGAAAAGTTAAAAACACCAAAAATCAGCAAACCCCTTCACTCCCCAAATAACTGCTTCAACAGTATTTTCTGACTTTTTTCATGTATATTCAGCTATAAATATAAGGTGCACAGGATAGTATCCTTCCCCAATCTGCCAAGCTGGATTTTCACACGGCGGTCAATAGGGGCAGGCTTTAAACAGGCCAGGCATTGTGAGGGCCCTGGCGAAGGAGGCTAATCCTGTTGCTGGGTGACCTTGGGCAAATCTCACCCTCCTCAGAGCCTTGATTTTTCTCAGTCCAATGAAAGGCAGGAAGAGCTGTAGGTAGGACTAGATCAGCGCTTCCCAAACTCAGAGATGCCACATGCAGCTGTGTGAGCTGTGCACTGCAGAAGTCCAGGGGGAGGAGCATTCTTTCACAGTCTCTGTGATAGTGGTCCTGCCCAAAAGTGTGGTGTGCAAACCTGGGGCCCACGAGAGGATTTTAGGTGATAGGCAGGTGCATTTCTTTTTACCATTGCCTTCTATGTGTAGCAAATTATTCCAATTCTCACTGGTAGGGCTGGTTACACCACAGATCGCTCAACCCACTCCCCAGAGATTCTGTTTCAGGAGGTCTGTGGTGGCGCCTGAGAATCTGCCTTTCTAACAAGTTCTCAGGTGATGCTGATGCTGATGCTGATGCTGATGCTGCTGGCTCGGGGACCACACTTTGAGAACCACTAATCACACATTTCCTTTTATTCATTTATTTATTTATTTAAGGCAGGGTTTTGCTCTGTCACCCAGGCTGGAGTATAATGGTGCAAACACGGCTCACTGCAGCCTCGACCTCCCAGGCTGAAGCAATCCTCCTGCTTCACTTCCTGAGCAGCTGGGACCACAGGCACATACCAACACGCCTGGATATTTTTGTAGTTTTTGTAGAAATGGAGTTCACCATGTTTCTCAGGCTGGCTTCAAACTCCTGGGATCAAGCATTCCACCTGCCTTGGCCTCTCAAAGCAAAAGTTACTCTTATAAACACATTTATTTAGGTTTTCAGAAAGAGTTGACTTACAGCACATGAAGAGTTCTTCAATACCAACCACTGGGGAAATGCACATTAAAACCACAGTAAGATATCACTACATATCTATTAGAACCACTAAAATAAAACATAGTGATAATATCAAATATTGCTGAGGATGCAGACAAAACTAAATCTCTCATACATTGCTGGTGGGAATATGAAATGGTACAGACAGTCTGGAAAAGAGTTAGGCAGTTTACTTGATTAAACATACACCTCAATATATGACCCAGCAACTGCTTCTGGGCATTTGTACCAGAAAGTAAAACAAACTGATGTCTGCACAAAAAATTCATACATGATTGTTCATGGCAGATTTATTTGCAATAGCCCCAAACTGGAAACAACCAAATACCCCTCAATAGGTGAATGGTTAGCAAACTGATATATCCGTTCTATGAAGTACTATTCAGCAATATAAAGGGGGTCAGGCATGGTGGCTCATGGCTGTAATCCCAGCACTTTGGAAGGCACAGGTGGGCAGATCACTTGAGGTCAGGAGTTCGAGAGCAGACAGGCCAACACGGTAAAACCCTGTCTCTACTGAAACAAACAAACAAAAAGGAGCGGACACGGTGGCTCATACCTGTAATCCCAACACTTTGGGAGGCTGAGGCAGGCAGATCGCCTGAGATCAGGAGTTTGAGACCAGCCTGGCCAACAGGGCAAACCCCATCTCTACTAAAAATACAAAAAAATTAGCCGAGCATGGTGGCGGAAACCTGTAATCTCAGCTGCTCAGAGGTTGAGGCAGGAGAATCGCTTGAATCTGGGAGGCGGAGGTTGCAGTGAGCCGAGATTGCACCACTGCACTCCAGCCTGGGCAACAAGAGCGAAACTCCATCTCAAAAAAAAAAAAAAAAATAGCCAGGCATGGTGGTGGGTGCCTGTAATCCCAGCTACTTGGGAAGCTGAGACAGGAGAATCACTTGAACCCAGGAGGCAGAGGTTGCAGTGAGGTGAGATTCCACCACTGCACTCTAGCCTGGGTGACAGAGCAAGACTCGGTCTCAAAAAAAAAAAAAAAGCAATAAAAAGAAACATGCAAAACTTGGATGGACCTCAAAGGGCATTTGCGTGAAAAAAAAAAAAAAAAAAAAAAAGCCAAGCTCAAAAGGCCACATACTATGTGATTCCATTTATATAATTTTGTTGTTGTTTGGTTGGCTTTTGTTTTGTTTTTGAGACAAAGTCTCACTCTGTGGCCCAGAGTGGAGTGCAGTGGCATGATCTCAGCTCACTGAGCTTGTGCCTCCCAGGTTCAAGTGATTCTTGTGCCTCAGCCTCCCAAGTAGCTGTGAGTACAGGTGCCACCATTATACCTGGCTAATTTTTGTATTTTTAGTAGAGACAGGGTTTTGCCGTGTTGGCCAGGCAGGTCTCAAACTCCCGGCCTTAACTGATCTACCCGCCTTGGCCTCCCAAAGTCCTAAGATTATAGGTGCCAGCCACCGTGCCAAGGCTTCATTCATTCACTCATTCATTCAAACAGAGTTTCTCCCTGTCTCTCAGGCTGAACTGCAGTGGCAAGATCTCAGCTCACTGTAGACTCCACCTCCCAGGTTCAAGTGATTCTGCTGCCTCAGCCTGCCACATAGCTGGAACTACAAGCACGTGCCACCATGCCTGGCTAATTTTTGCATTTTATAATGTTCTTGAAGTGACAAGATTATAAAGACAAAAAAGCAGGTTAGTGGTTGCCAGAAGTAGGAATAGTGGAGGGGAAGAGGTAGAAACAGCAGAGGAATAGCAGGAGGGGGATTTTTTTGTGGTGGTGGAACAGTTCTGTGTCTCGATTGTAGCAGTGGTTACAGAAGTCTACATATGTGATAAAATGGCTTTGACCTACACACCTGACATTCTTTGATATTGCTCTACACTTAATAGAATAGAACCTTTGGAGGAAACTGAGTGAAGAGTATATGAACCCACTTTGTACCAACTTTGAAATTTCCTCTGAATCTATATTTCCAAATAAAAGGTTGATATTTTAAAACTTGCTTTAGACAAAAATATTAAATAAAAATAGTATTGATTGTATGCAAGGCTGGCAAAACCTTTGACACAGTGAATGACTGGCATCTCTAATTCATCCCATGCACAGTTACCCCTGGCCAGGCCCTGTCCTAGGCTAGGTCACCTGCTGGAAGATAGAACTCTGGACTCTCTCCTGCTTGGCTTTGGGGAAGAGATGCCAGATATAACATAGGCCACCCACTGAAATTTATATTTCTCATCACAAATGAATAATTTTTAGTATTTACCATATTTAGAACATACTTACGCTAAAATTCTTTTTTCACCATCTACGCAGATGTTGATATTTTTCTAAATTATTTAATGTACACATGTAGTTACTTTAAAGTTCTTGCCTGATAATTCCAATGTGTGAGTCATTTATGATTTGTTTTGTTTTGTTTTTTGAGATGGAGTTTCACTCTTTTAGCCCAGGCTGGAGTGCAATGGCACCATCTCAGCTCACTGCAACTCTGCCTCCCAGGTTCAAGCAATTCTCCTATTTCAGCCTCCCGAGTAGATGGAACTACAGGTGCATGTCACCACGCACAGCTAATCTTTGTATTTTTAGTAGAGAAGTGGTTTCACCATGTTGGCCAGGCTGGTCTTGAACTCCTGACCTCAGGTGATCCACCCACCATGGTCTCCCAAAATGCTGGTGAGCCTTGGTGGCCAGCCCCCCCCCCCCCTTTTTTTTTTTTTTTAGACAAAGTCTCACTCCATCTTCCAGGCTGGAGTGCAGTGGCATGATCTCAGGTCACTGCAACCCCTGCCTCCCAGAATCAAGCCATCCTTCCACCCCAGCCTTCCAAGTAGCTGGAAACACAGGCACATGCCACCAGCAGTCCTTACTGGTTTTGCAGAAGACAATTTTTCCACAGACAGGGTGGGGGGAAAGTGGTTATGGTAATGAAACTGTTCCACTTCA